TGGTCACCTACTCTAACAGTAGTGTAGTCAATTGTGTACTCGATTTTTTCAATAATCTTAAACTCCCATATGCCCTTAACTTTACTTTTTGTCCTTCTCATCCCTAAAACAAAAAATCCGGAGAAAATGACGGAATACCGCCCAATTAGCCTGTGTAATGTTATATACAAATTCGGGTCGAAGACCATACCTAATCGTATGAAACCCGTCATGAACAATATTATTTCTCACACCCAATCGGCCTTTGTTCCTAAGCTCCTCATTACTGATAATATGCTCGTTGCCTATGAAATCAATCACTACATTAATTCGAACAATAGGCGGCGATCTAATTATATGGCACTTAAATTGGACATTAGTATGGCATACAATAGAATTGAATGGCGCTTTGTTGAGAAGACATTTTCTAGACTAGGATTTCCCCACGCTACCATTGAATTAATTATGTTATGTCTCTCGTTTGTTGCTTACTCTTTTTTATTCAATGGATCTCAGTTTGGATTTGTTCGGCCATCCAGGGGCCTTTGCCAAGGGACCCCCTCTCGCCGTACTTATTTATCTGTTGCACAGATGCTTTGATAGCCATGGTTCAAAAAGCAGAGGAAATGGGCGAAATTCGAGGTATTCAGATCGCTCCACAAGCCTCGAGTGTCTCTATGCTTTGCTTCGCCGATGACACACTGTTATTTAGCACAGCCTCAACGGGCGATGCTAATACGCTCAAACAGATTCTGGCCAAATATACGGCGGCCTCGGGTCAAATTATCAACTTGGAAAAATCCACTATGGTTTTCTGTCCCAAGACGTCTCAGACGACCAAGGACTCTATTCAAAATATCTTGGGCTTTCAGATTGTGGAACGTCACGACAAATACTTGGGGATGCCGATGACTATGGGTAAATTAAGAAAGAAAGTTTTTAGCTACCTTCGAGACCGGGTTTGGGGTCGGATTAAAGGATGGAGCGAGAAAATGCTCTCAAGAGCCGGTAAAGAAACCTTGATTAAAGCTGTTTTGCAGGTCATCCTATCGTACATTATGAGCTGCTTCTTTCTGATACAAACCATGCCAACCATGTGACGAGACCCGGTATCAATACTTCGGATTTCAAATCCTGGACCGTCCAAAGAAGGATTCAGTCGGGTGGAACCTCGACCCATTACCTATAAAGAGGCAAGAACCTTGGTATGCGAAGACGCCACAATCAATTGCGGAAGATTGATTGATGAGTCGAGGGCGAACGCCACGGAGAACAACTCCGATAAGTTCATTTAAAAATAATGGTTCTTGAAGAACCGAAGAGGCACACTCTTAATCAAAATGATTTCAATACATTGTTGTGTGTTTTTATTCATACAATTTGATCCCTTTATATAGGATTCAACTACTCTAATCTATGGAAATAAACTAAGACGATGGAATCATTATTCAAATAATCAAATTAGCCACAAATCAGCCAATCTAATTAACATTTATTGAAACTAAATTAGGAAAGTTTTTTAAATCATTGTCTTGATCTTCCAAGGCTAAAATGCACTAATAAAGAGCCTTCATATCTCCTAAAAAACGTGTGTATCTTTCCTTGTTGAAATCTGGAACATTCCAAAGGCTTATAATATGTGATTGCATCAATTAGAACATTCCAAGATTTATATCTTTGTGATTATGCCTTTGAAATCTGATCTGGACCAATTTAAAATGTGACTAGAAAACCTTTGGAATCTTTGATTGCTTGATGTGATTGGGATCACATCATACTCCCTTTCTCCAAGAGAATTCGTCCTCGAATTCGATTCCTTGGAATGAGCGTGTAGTATTCAAAGCGAATCCATG